AGTTTTCGTCGCCTAAAACTACGAAGGCTAAGAAGGACTAAAATGTGACTAAAACTAATAACCATTTCCATCTAAAGACTAACATGAACAGTCCTGATTGAACTCCCACTCACCCGCAGGTTGGAGTAGAACTCGTCGAGCACGAGGCTCATGGAGCGCGTCAGGTTTCCAACGTACGACGTTTCCTGGTTCAGAGCATCCTGGAACACCTCAAAGTCCTGCATCCACTCAACGGCGAAGCTGTGCTCGATGATGTCCGTCTGAACAGAGACAAAAGCTGATCAGAGACGTAAACAACAACAAAACAACAACAAACTGAGAGACAACAGCTGATTAGAGAGAGATAAACAATAAACAACACAACAAACTGAGAGCTTCCAGAGGCCTGTAATACGAAGCCGGATTTTCACTTGGCGAGCTAACTTCAGGGTAAACTCTGGGTTTCCGGTCCTACGACCAGAGTTCCCGTTAGCCAGTAATTACCGGACTATGACCGGTAAAGTATGCTGAAGACCGGCAAATCTCAATCTCTCCGGTCTAGATTTCCTGCCAAAGTAATGTTCCCTTAGCGCAATACCGCATCAGTTGCGCCACTTATGTGACAGACAAGAAGAGTCAATTCTAATGTCTAACACTTAATGTGGAGAAAGAGATGTCCTGTATGGGTTGATTGTGCGTTGATCTGTTGGTAATGCCTCGGGGTTCCGGTGGGCATGTAAACAAATGCATAATGCTGCGCTATACTTTGTGGCCTCACCCGGTTGCATAGCAACACTTATTGTTTAGGTGTCTTTTAATAAGCAGGTAGTCATATCATTAGCTAGAACTAGCTGGATCTGATCGATATGGACATAAACGCGAGTAAAGTCTAATCTGACGGGAGAGAGAGATCAGCTGCTGCTGACGAGTCGACACGCAGCTCTGCATGATCACATGCAGCGGTGAGCAGACAAAACACACGTAGCTATTTTAATTACATCTCAAACTACCGTAACTAGTTATAGATATGTTTAGTTTTACTGTCGAGTCACTCATTACTGATCCTCGAGCTGCATGAGACTGACGGGCTGTCAGGAGAGGGAGAGAGCGCTCCGTTTATTGTGTTATTGTAAATTACTGTACACGTTTGAATAATGTAGTTAATCTACTATTATTAGTTTGTTTGATATCGAATCATATCAATTTGTTTTAAAGCTCAATAACAAAGAAGACCTTTGACCGGCACTTTTCTAATTTTCTCCGGAAGATTTAAACTTTAACGGACATTTTGACCGGCAAAAAACGGGACCTCTGCCTTCGACGCTGGTTCTCTTTTTAGCAGGCTAGATCTCATGGTAACTTATGCTGAGCGGCTAGCCTGCCCCGGAGCAGGTTAGGTTGCAGGCTAAGAGATCAACTCAGTGAAAGCACTGCCTGCTGACCAATCAGAGCTCAGTGTGCGGAGTTTAAAGCGATCAAGTCATATTACATGAGAAAGGAAATACAGAAAAGCTGCCGTTGCAGGAAAGACGGCCGGCAAAAATCACCGACTGTGTGAACGTGAACATTAATAGAATATCACCTCCCATCTTCAGAGCAATCTGACTATTATAACATTAGCGTTAAGAAAGCTTACTTAAATATCTGCCACAACATAAGTAACCGGATCAGAGTAACATTAAGTACAGTCCGTGGCATATCACATCATAATGTATCATATATCTCCTTATCTGAGTCAGCTGAGCCGTATCTGGCCGCGCAACACTCACAGTGTCACATGTTGCTATCTGTCTGCTTTGTGAATATGTATTTTAGTTTTGTTTTTATATATGCTTTTATCGTAATATAAGCATCTCTGTTGAATGTTGTTTTACTGATTGTATTTAAAGTGAATTTTTGTTTTTAGGATGACTTTCAACATCTGTCCAGGGACTACAGACGAAAAATAGCCTGTTGGCTAACTCTGGCGCATTTACAGAAATGTCAATCAATGTGCACTGTCCCTGTCAAATAAATATATAAATAAATAAAAATAAAATACTGTATGCAGAAGTATTATTTTAAGCAACACATTAAATTGACGAAACACTCGAGACCCCCTCCCGCAATGAATAAAGTATTATTTTTCTGATTCTAAAGCGTTTCCACGGTAACCCCTCACCTTGTTCATGGCGACGATGAAGGGCAGCTTGGTCTTGTAGAGAATACTGGAGGAGGAAACACAAAGAGCTGAAAAACTCTCTGCTGCGTTATTTGGAGAAACTCCACAACATATTCACTATTTTCCAGATATAAAATATAATTATCACACATTCAATCTACTCTTAGAAAAGGGTTTTAAATTGTTAACAGATATAGAAAGAATAGATGGAACTGATATTGTTTAAAAACATATTGACTTTGTCCACATGGTCCATTATTATCAAGGAGAATCTCATTTAATGCATGTTAGTTGATTTTTTATTATAAACAGCAACATATGTTTTATTTATTAACTGTGAGAACAATTATACTACTGTAATTATAAAAAATGAACATATATTACATACTGTTATTATTATTATCTGGTCTGTTAGCGCCCCCTGCTGGATGTAACTTAAATAAATCACATAGCATTTCATCTTGATTAAACTAATGCAAGATTAGTGTTTTTGTTCCTGAATGAAAAACAGCTCAATGTTTATATTTCACATTTAAATCACTTCATATTTTCTCAGGATGATTTATTTACTAGTTATTTAAGAGGCGCCCAGTTCTGGTGTTGGAAAGAGAGTTTTATGAATTTAGTTTTTATTTACAGATTTGTGTCACAGTTTATCAGAGGTGGTGAAGGAGAGGTGGTCTAATAAAGGTGGTGTGTACCTGCAGGCGTACAGCATGTTGCTCATGAAGGTGACGGGGCTCACGCTGCGGGTGGTGTCCATGACGTAGACCACGACGCAGGGGAAGGACGACGCCTGCAACATATTCATCAAATATACTGAATACAGAGGAAGGAAAATAACATTTAAATATCAAAACATAGAAAATGAATGCATAACTAAAAATGTTTATTGAAGAATGCTGAAATAAATGTGTAAATAAATAAAATATATTTCAACATTTTGTTTACCTAAATGTATTTGTTTATGTTTTTAGAGCTTAGTATTCATTTTTGGAAGAGGCCTGAAAAACATATTGGAAAATAAACAGACTATAGACTTTGAAAAATAACTTGAGAATGAATGCATACATAAATAAAGATGCTCACCAGAGTCTCAGTGATGATGGTTCCTGACGCAGACCAGGTGAAGACCTCAATCTGACCCGGGGTGTCGATCAGGACGTACCTGCAGGGGTCAAAGGTCATCACAAGCAGGATGTGACTCGCCTGATTTAAATGAAATGTTAATATTATAGTATTTTACAGGTGAATACTGACCGGTGGTTCTGCTGCTTCTTCTCTAAGAACTGCATCACCTGAGGAGCACACATCATAATACCGTGTTATAACTGCGGCCGAGATGGGTTTTCTCCGCAGGGTGGCTGGTGTCTCCCTTAGGGATAAGGTGAGAAGTTCAGTCATCCGGGAGGGACTCGGAGTTGAACCGCTCCTCCTTTGCGTCGAAAGGAGCCAGTTGAGGTGGTTCGGGCACCTAGTTAGGATGCCACCTGGGCGCCTCCCTAGGGAGGTGTTCCAGGCACGTCCAGCTGGGAAGAGACCAAGGGGTAGACCTAGGACCAGGTGGAGGGATTATATCTCTTCTCTGGCCTGGGAGCGCCTTGGGACCCCCCAGTCAGAGCTGGTTGATGAGGGGAAAGGAACGTTTGGGGCTCTCTGCTGGAACTGATACCTCCACGACCCGACCATTATTTTTGTTGGAGACTAACCTATATCTTTTGATATTTCAGGTTCTGGGTCGAGTGCGCCGGCTGCTGAGCGTTCAGGAGCCTCCAGATCTTCCTCTTTCTCGACCTGCGTTCAAACGACACAGCAGTGACGCCACAGGAAGCTTCTTCCCAGACTTCAGGTGCAGTTTGGCTCAATTCAGAGAAATAAACATACCCCAATGGGCCTATTATTGTATGACAGTTGAAGTGTGATTAGGCAACAAGGTGTCTGTTGGGAAAATACTGAATGTCCTCTTCCAACATGAGAGCAACATGGTAACAAAGGTATCCCAACTGTAGCTGTGAACATGACAGGATGTGTGATTACCTAGAAGAGCATCAGGACTGCTTGAGGCAAATGATAGCTACTGTATATACAATTCAGAATTTTAAGTTTTTGAAAAAAAAATCTGAATTTTGAGGGTGCTTCTTTACTGAAGTACATTTCAAAGCCCATAGTTATTTAATTTCACTTGAGTCAAGAAGTTTAGTCAGTACTTCTACTTTCACCAGAGTATTTTTAAACACGAGTATCTGTACTTCTACTTGAGTAAAGGATGTGTGTACTTTTGCCTTCTTTGATTGATGCTAACATTGGATCATCTGTTCTTACCATCCAGGGTTAATTCTCGTCTAGACAACATGGGTCTCCCCTCCCCCAACATGGACACCCTCTCCACTTTAAGGGAGGTCAGCAGTAACCCTCCCTCCCCTGAAAGCCCCCCCTCAGCGGTTTTCCCTCGACTCGTCGTCAGTCCACCGTTTTCCGGAGATGCCGGTCCAAACTTTGAAGCATTAAAACCTCACAATGGACTGGAGCCGTCCCCCAGTGAGGAGGCCCCGGGCCTCGAGACCCCGAGGTAAATACATCAGTTAGCACTTTCCACATCTTGATAGTCCAACACTGACTGTAACGAAACCATTCTGACGCTGTTTCGAGATGATAGCATTACCAAGACGTCGAGCAACAACAATTGGTCTTACATTTGGTGATTTAGCTTCTCTCAAATGTTATAGCCATAGCTTAACAATTATTTAAAGGCAGAATGAGTTGGATATTACAAAAACAATAGACATACAAAACAACCATTAATTGAAACGTAAGACCGGGTAGCTGATCGTAGGAATGCATTGAAGATAAATATATGAAAATGGCCGACAAGACGTACATATAGCAAGGTGGACAAAACTCAATCCAACACGAGAGGATCAATCAATCAATCAATCAAATGTTGACACCCGCTGTCCTTAGACCCTCGCAAATATAACCCCCCATTGACAGGGGGAGACATAATGACTCTGGGGTTTTACCGGCTCGTAAGCAACCTAACGTTAACGGCATTCACTTTGTGTTTTCAGGAGCAACTCTTTCGTCTGTTGCTCCCCGACCCAGCTGGGACCAAAGGAGTTTCGTTGGACGCACCACCCCCCCTCCAGACCTCGGGGGCGGCAGTTCTCGCTCCAGTTCTCCAGGCAGTCGTCCAAAGCGTCCGTCCGAAGCTTACCGAGCCCCAAAGGTCTGGGGAGGAAGAAACGAACACTGGCTCGTTTCCAATCCCGACGATCCCCAGCGGACACTTTACAGCTTCCGGACCAAGAGCCGGACCCCGAGTACGACGACTTCCAGGGACTCGCAGGGACTGAAGACGACGAGAAGGAAGAGACCGACGACAGCGAAGAGATAAAAAAACAGGACTCCTAATTGCTGAGCTTGGGGAAATCATTAGAAACCACTCACAAGGAAACATACTATTCCAAAACAGAGCCAATCTCCATGCTGGTTACATCATTAACGAAGAAGAGGAGTCCCAAGAGGAAGTCCCTAATCTCGGAAGGGATGTTTTGAAGCCTGGAGTTTTAGTTTAATCACTGGAGAGCAGAGACGGCAAAAGTACACACATCCTTTACTCAAGTAGAAGTACAAATACTCGTGTTTAAAAATACTCTGGTAAAAGTAGAAGTACTGACTAAACTTCTTTACTCAAGTCAAAGTAAAGAAGTATGGGCTTCTAAATGTACCTAAAGGTGGGGTATGTAATTTTGGAGAAACCGGCTCGAGTGCGCTAGAATTTGAAAATACACAACGGGAACAAATCTACCACTTCCTTACAGAGCCCCTCCTCCAACACACACGAACGCGCACATGACCAATGAGGGCACGAGATAAGTTTGTGCACAGATGGAAGGCTGACAGCCAGGTAGGCCACCCAGTTACTTTAGCCGGGCCGGCTAAAATGATTGGTCGTGCTTTTTACAGCACCACGGCTTCCAC